ATGAAGAAAAACTTTAACATAAGTTGAACATAACAGCAAATGTACAACGTTTCGACAAGGTTTCGATTATGACAAAACCATGTCGAAACGTTGTACATTTGCTGTTATGTTCAACTTATGTTAAAGTTTTTCTTCATTACCCATTCAAGCCGTCTCCAATCATTATTAGTCTCAAAGTGGGTTCCTCGTCATCGAATTTTAGTCGTCTATTGACTTAAGATTAGCTTAGAGTTGTACACTATTAAACAATGGACTTTGAGTCAATATGGCAAAAAATTATGTATTTCAAGTCTACCCATACGCTACACCCCAAACTGTTTGATGTTGGTATGTCGTATTTTTGGACTTAAATCTAACTTTTTTTGTATCTTACAATGCATACACTGTAAGCTCGTGGCTACGCGAGTTTCGATCGAATTCTAATCAGCTAAGAAAGGTCACCCAATTTAGTTATTTACTGGGGCTAATATTGAATTATAATATCTTAGCACATACAATATATTATCTAAATTAGTCTGCTCTCTGATATTTTAACAAATTCAGTGTACCCACAAGAAATTACGTTAATGGTTTATGCAAAAGGGTAATTTGATCCACCACCTGTCGTATCATGGCAACGAACCTGCACCAATATCATGTTGAGCTACCAGAGCAACTGTTGCACCGAAGTTGGTTCTTTGAATTTATCCCAAACATAGATATATATGTTTACTTTGATGCTTCTACTCATTGTCGGGAAGCATTGCAAGAAATGTTCCCCGGTAGAATTATGCTGCTCTGCACTCTGACACTAGATGTCTACCATGCTCTGGTTTCCGCTGCAGAAGGCGTTGCCTTTACGGGACTTGCTATACAAGGTCAATCGCCTTGCCAGCAAGCAGCTACAAAACAGTAACTTAGACATGTCTTGAACTATTAAGCAATTTAAAAAAAAATATTCAGTCCTATAACGATTAAGGCTTTTGCAAAGGAACTTGCAGAAGAAATGGAACTCACTGGAAAGTGTTCGTAAAATCAGCAAATTTGTTCATAAAAAAAGTGTTAATATGAAATTTGTGATGAAGTTATCCTTGGCAAGGCAACCGATTTTGATACGAACTGTAGGCCCTGTAACTAAAACGACTACGAAACGTATTGGAATACACGTGAAAGGACGAATTAATATAAAAATTTCCCCATTATCTTTGTCGCACTGAGAATTCTGCTGACTTTTCCCCATCACCGTTGCTAGTGGAGAAAGAAGCTTTTCCAAACAAACTCAAGTTGATTAAAACCTTCGATCAACCACGCTAGAAACAAACCTGAATGGTCTGGAAATAAAATTAGATCAACTATGAAAAATACAAAATTGGACAAGAAACACGGTTTATGCAATTTTTCCTCAATGAAATAAGAGAAGTGAAATTTCCGTAATTGTAAAAATTGGAACTAGTACGGTAGCCACGTTTTTACTGATACTGAAACACATTCTCTATTTTAATAAATAAACTAATTTGATTTGCTTTCTAGTCCTAAGGTTTTATTACACCAATGAAAACAACGATTGAGAGGAGGGGCAGTAGGAAATTTGCATAGGGCAAAAAAACAATAATAATAATAATAATAACCAGCGCCACCTCTGGGCCTGAATTATCAAATAAGTTGCATTTTTTTCTGGAACCGAAAAAATTAGCAGAAGCGGTATGCCTCAGATTTTTAAAAGGCGTAAGTGTATTATTACAAGGAAGACCTATATCTAAGTTAATGTTTTGTGTGTGATAAGGTTAATAATTGCAACTAGAATATTAGAGATACGCATTATAAATCTAGACTACGTTCGCGGTCAGAAATATATTTGGTTTCGTGTGCTTAAATCTAAAACTAAAGTTTTATAAAATTACAGGCATCTCAAGTGATGTGTGTGTGCGTGTGTGTATTATATATATATATCTTCATATATCTTCAAAATTGTCCAAAAAATATCTTCAACTTTCACCGTTTATATGGTGTACACATACCTGCCTGTAGGTTGCGCTAATTTATAATAGTGTATTTGTCACATCTTTTATATATTGATTCATATTCTATGATCACTATTCAAGTTTTTTTATGCATTTTGATAGCGCTTGAGAAGTGGTATACACAGCGTGGTCACAAGTAAATAGACACCACCTTTTCAGAAAAAATGAAAATTTTCA